CCCCCCCCTTTTTCGCCCACCCACCAACCAGACGTTCTATTTTGCCGTGCAACTCTTCACCGGCGCCTGGCAGGTCCGCTACCAGAGCATTGACTGGCTCGCCAGCATTCTCTCCGGTCTCTCCGTCTACCACAAGGACTTTGCGATTGCAGTCGTCGACAACATTATTGAGGATGTTCGTGTTGGCATGGAGGTAGGTGCAACCGCATGTTTTGCTACAACCGGCTAAGTCCGTTTTTAGGCCACTTTTTGCGATGCGTTTTCAGTGTGCTAAGACTTTCTATGCATTCCAGAGAATTTAAAATGTTTGTAGTTGCGATGCCCGGGTAGCTTACGTACTACGGTAAGAATGTATCATAAGTAACACTAGGTCCCTGGTTTACGTTGCATAACCGCCTACTAATTTTCTAGTAGTAGGAATGTTTTATTTCACTACTTTGGGGTCGGCTGTGTTGCTCATCACACGCGTAGGGCATAGCGCTCCGACACAACCAGAAGTATACCTATTTTGATCCTTGCCTCTCCCTTCCTCCAGATAAACGACCAGACTCTCGCCCAACGAAGGCTCAGCATGATAAAGTATCTGGGTCTGTTGTATAATTACAAGCTGGTCGACTCTCCAGTCATCTTCACCACCCTCTACTCCCTCATCACCTTCGGTGTGAGTCTGGACTGTAAGTTCGCCAAATGTATCATTGTTCTGTTTGCTTCCTCTCTCTCTCTATCCTGTGCCTTATTCAACGTTTTTGCTGTACCATAACTGGGCCCATTAAAACAATGCAATAAGAAGACTCGGATGAAGGAACAGCCATCGCTGGAACAGGATGTTTATTCGTCTGAACCGCCCTCCCACGGAGGTACGCAGACTTCAGCTCGAACAAGGCCGTCCATGGCCAATGCGGAACTATCAGAAAGGCATCCTTGGTCTTCCAAGAAGGCTGACTTTTGTGGAAACCTTGCTCGTCCCTCTAAATCGCTTAGATATGTACCAGGGAAGGAGTCCATTAAGATATTTGGCTGTTTTCGGTTCTTTGGCATTTCGCCTCTGCCGCTGTCGAGCAGAACGGTTCAGGGTAATCGGAAGCACACGCACAGGCCGTAGCGCGTGCAAGACCTCCTTACTAAAACGCTAACCAGCTCGGTCGGGCCAAGTATGATCCCACTGGTGCCATACACAAATACGTTAGTTCGTGTGTTTTCGTTCGTATGCACGTGTTGCTTCCACTTATGGAATCCGCCCACAAAACCAACCACACATCAACGTTTTCCGCTAGAGGCCTCTGATAGTGTTTTTGTACAACCTGGAAAATGCTGAACTTGTGCGGCAGGCTTTCCCTGAGGAATCAGGTGTTTCAACTGTAAGAGACACCCTAGCGATCATGGAACCCCACGGACTTCGTTGCGGAACACACAAACGTTCTCATAAAAGATGCAATTGTTAAAGAAATTGAGTAAAGCTGACGGCTAATCCGTAACCACTCAACTGTGCAGAGCGCATTCCAAGGCTGTCTAAACCCAGACTGTACGAACCTAATATTAATTTTAAAAGAGCGAATAATTTTGCGAAATGTGTGTTACAATTGGTTTTCATATTTGCCTGATTTGGTAACATCGCACTTGAGGCCGTCAGAGGGATGGGGTTATTTTACTGAGCCTGGCAGCTTAAGAACAAACGACGGAAGCACTTCATGCGCTGAACCTGAAGATTTAAGATCCATAACGGAAAATACCGTAAAGACTGCCCGTTCTTTCGCAGAAGGAAGTGCTCGCCCATTACCTGAAACAATTTTTATTGCTAATTAAAGATAGAACTGCCAGTTTTTGTACTTAATATATTAAAAAATTGCTTGCGAATTCACAAATCTAACATGAACGAAATTTATATTGGCTATCCTATACGGATTAACTACTGCAGATGGCCTCAAAACATCTAAGTACGCAAGGCGAGGGAAATAAATGAAGTTACTGGGACTTTTTCGTCAGTGGACATAATGCCTCACTAAAAGAATAATGAGGGAATGTTGTATCCCTCCGTTCCTCCGGTTTGTTAAAAGGACTTTCTGCCCCCGAGGTTGGCCGTAAGGATGATGCTTCCCAGGATAAACCTAACTCTTGTACCATGACTTGCATAATAATTAGTTTATAGGACGGCGAACTAGCGTGGCATCGACCGCTTTCTCTCCGCCTTACTTACCCCGCTCCGTAGGATATAGATTGCACGCAGTTGCTAAAAGAACTAAACGACCCGTCTACGCGTGCTACACACACGATTTGTCCCCGGCAACATGTAAAAGACGTTCCTATGGACACTTCGGAACTCACGTCATTGAAGTTCACAAGACGCCAGGAGACGGGTTCTGATGTAAGAACTAAGAAAGGCAAACCAGTCGTCTATGCGCACCACACGCATTGTGGACCTGGCTAGTTTCG